TTTATTAAACTTTGTTTGGTCTCACCTGAGCTGCTCTCTGACAGCCTCAGCATCAGATCAGGTCTGTTCATGTCTGTTAAAACCTCCACCTCCACAGACTCTTCACTGCATGTCTTCACAATCAGTTGAACTACATCAGCTCTGTCTGCTGTCTCCAGCTGGGATGCTGGGATTTTCTGGAAGCCTCTCTTTGTTACTCTCTGCTGCAGGACTCTCTTAAAATGTTCAAGCTCACTGAAACTGAAATTTTCCGGTGTTTCCAGAAGTTTCTCCTTCACTGATGTCATGGATGCTTCCTGGTGGATTAAAATTCATTAGAGCTTAATGATGTAATATTTCCACTGTGATAAATAAATAATATAACTTCTGTTTTGTAACACAGTTACATATATTAGGGTGTTTTTACTTGTGATGAAATCAGATTGACTTCAAAATGAATAAATGAAATTCCTCCACATGTTTTCGTGTTTGTATCACCACAGGACAGTCCAATACACTAATATTTATACATTGTAAAAAAATGTTTTTTAAAAGGTTCTTATTAAGATAAGAATAATGTTTAACCTGTAACTAAAATAAAAACTGTGTAGAGTGAAGTGTGTCTGATGTGACTTTACTCACTGTGTGGAACAGTGAAGGCTGACGCTTTTCTGAGGAAACAGAAAACAGAAAATGACTGAATAATTCAAAACTACTGTAAACATCATAACAATCGAAAGAGAGAAACAAATGTCATCATTACCACCCATTAAACACCAAAAACCCTCACATGCACAACCTTACCAGTTATTAAACTGTTCAAATCCTAAAAATAACTTTCAATGCTGATAAACTGTAACTGTGTGTGTCAGAAGTGTTTCAGCTCAATGCTGATTGATCAGAGAGAGAGAAGCTGGATTCAGATCGGGTCTGTTGTGTTTCCCGTTTAATTTAATGTTTGTTATTGTTGATTAAAAGTTATTTAAACAAGTTTATTGTAAATTGTGAAAATCTATTTTTAAAACATTTGTTTGGTCTCACCTGAGCTGCTCTCTGACAGCCTCAGCATCAGATCAGGTCTGTTCATGTCTGTTAAAACCTCCATGGTCGCCTCCACAGACTGATGACCAAGTTCATCCACCATCAGATCCACAAGGTCTTCTGTCCTGTTTGGATACATCTGTATTTGTGGCAGGCTCATCTTAAAGCACGTGAACGGCAGCAACAGAATAAATTTCCCGAGATCTTTTTGACTGAATTCATTCAGTGTTTCCAAGAGAATCTGTCTAACAGCTTCCAGTTCTTTTTCCTGAAAAACCAAAATAATAAGTTACTGTATAATATCTCTGAGGAAATTCAGTGATTGAAATCTTTAATTCGTTCAGTGTAACTTTAGTAGAAATATCAAATATGAATAAAAAACAACTTCATTAATATTAATATTTTTCAGAATAATCACTGAAATTACAGCTTTTAAAGATAAACAGAAATCTAAAGATGTCATTTCCTGGTTTTATCGTCAGTAGTAGATCCTTCACTCTGTCGTCAGTGGAAACATTATTGCTGCAGACTCCACATTAACACTGTGAGAAGCATCCAGTTTCAAAGATGCTTTGTCTGTTTCATCGTGTTTAATGTTCAAGATGAGGATGATTTACAGCCTGAATCTACTGAATGAAAGCTGAGTTAGAGTCACACTCACTCTCTTCAACAGTGCAGCTCCATGTTCATCCACAGAGTGTTTCTCTGAGGAGGAAAGACATTTACCATCAACTCTGAGGATTCAAACATCATCACACATCCAAGTAGAATCAGCCTTCAGACGACACAGATGATTCAAATGGAAAAAGTAACAAAAAAATACAGTAAAAAAACACATTCATCCTAAGGTTGCAGTAATCACAGAGAGACTGAGTACATCTGTCCTTCGTGTATAATAAGCAAACACTCACATCCACACCTACAATTTATAACCACCAATAAATCCATTAGACATCTGATGATATCTATAAGTCAGAATGGTCAGAGTATTGATCTGATATTTCATAGATTTTACTTTGTTGATGACACAGAGTTTACACTCATGCATGTTGGTCTTACCTCTGGATGCTGAGCTGCTCTCTGGTAACTTCTGCACCAGATCAGTTCTGTTCATGTGCATGAAGAAGTCTCTGATCACCTCCACAGACTGCAGACCAAGTTCATCCACCACCAGATTCACTATATCTGCTCTGGTTGATAGTTTATTTAACCACGTTGAAGAATATAACAAGTTCCTCAAATGAAAAATGTTTCGTAGGAATCTCTGAAAGTCCTGAAGTTCATTGTTGTTCAAATTATTCAAATATTCTAAATGCAGATGTTTAACAGCTGCCATTGTTGCCACCTGGAACAGTCAAAACAATCATGGAAGATATATTAATTAATCAGTTTACTCAAATAGTAACTACTCTATTGAGATCAGTATGTTTACCAAAAAAATATGAAGAAGCTATAAAACTGTGATTGTTTTTTCTGACTTTGAAAAATTTATTCTTCTTTACAGGCTGCAGTTCTTCTCTCACACTGTGCAGATAAAAACTAAAAATTTTCATGATATCAGATTGCCTTTCATTCTTTATTAATATTTGTAAGTAGAATAAAGTTTCCTGTTTAAGCTGAAAGTGTTTGATGTTTTCAGATTTCTCTGTCCTGTTGAAGAGTCAGGACAAATGTACATGCTGACACTTCCTCAGCTCATCCTCAGTGGTAAAGACATCCTGACATTAGTGTTGCAGAAAATTACTGCTGAAGAAGTCAAACTGAATGTGTTGGAAAGGCTGTCAGCTGTGTGGGGGGGCCCCTTGTGGCGAGAGAGCACAGTTGCACTATTGAGCACATGTTCCAGTGATCAGAGTTGGAGCTAACACATAGCAAGAGCCGCCTGGCAGACTGACTCTGCAGGGGATGTCTACACACGGTGTGAGTTGTGTGCGTCGCTAAAGAACTGTGAGTAGACGTGGAGCCATGCCTGAAAAGGACAGTTTTAGTCTTTTATGCCAATTAGACATTTAGTGGATGTAGAAGTGCAATGTGTATCGACCTGTTCGCTATGTGGCTAGTTCATGCTACTAATGCTACCTGTTATGCTACATACCTGCTAGCTGTAAGCTAAACGATTTGGTGTTTGTGATATATTGTTGTTGGGTGTATTGGCAATCAATGTCATGTACTGTAAGGGTTTGGGAGTAGTGTATGAAACTCGTGCATGTAGATGTTCATATAGGAATTCCCATTTGTAGTTCTGGTTAGATTCGAAGAACGCTAATGCATCATAATTCATGACTTAGATGTTTATTACATTCAGTATTCTGTATATGTTCTGTTCACAGACCACACACACCCACACCCCTCACCACTCTGTAAGCCTGCGGTTGCATTACTGTGTTGCTGTACTGTGCTGTTAAGCTGAGGAATCACAGTAAAGACGGTATAACCTTTATCTGTGCGTCCTGTGTGTTCTGACCGACACCCCAAGGTGAACACCACTGCTATTCAGCCAACGCCTATACAGTCCTGGGTTCAACCCAAATTAACAGAATGAAGCTTCAGTTTGTCACAAACATCCAGCAGAAATCATGAGAAAAATGACTCAACATGAGAACTGATGATACTTTAGTCCTCTGACTTTCAGCCTGCTGTCTTGTACTGAATCAGAGATGTGACATGACTCACTTTGTGGATCAGTGCAGAGCGTCGTTCATCCACAGAGTGTTTCTCTGAGGAGAAAAGTGCTCAAAGTCACTCATGACAAACACATTTAACAACTAACTGACAATTATTCAGGAAATATGACTTTGGAAAAATGGACAATATGCAGAATTACACTGAAACCTCCTCAGCAATAATAAACAGTATGAAGGAGTCATTTTTACTCCTCCTCACAAAGTATTTGGATTTAATCTGGTCTCATTTTTATGTATTTATTGAAGTATATTTTTCCAGAACAGCCATAAAATATGTTTTAAAGATGTGTTTTTTGTCTTTATTACAAATATTATTTATAAAGTCAAAGAAGACTTTAGTCAGACGTTTATGAGACATGAAAACAGTTTTATGACTTTAATGAGTTTTGATTTTGTTGTCTTACTTCGAGGCAGTGAGCTGCAGTCTGACAGCCTCTGAGCCAGATCAGTCCTCTTCATCTCCTTTAAGACCTCCATGGTCTTCTCCACTGACTGTTGGCCGTAAGTCTGCACCATCAGAAACACTGTGTCGCTGCAGGTCTGTCTCTGTGTACCACATCCATGAGAAGACTGAGTCATATTTGTCATGATGAATTTGTCGCAGGTTCAGATTGAACTCATGCAGCTCTCGATCATTGAGACCATCCAGAGTTCCAGCAGCAGCTCAATAACAGACTCCATCGTTTCTACCTGGAAAATTCAAAGAAAATGTTCATGAGATAAATGTGACATTTCTCACTTTCAGGTTTGTTTGTTTTCTCATCAACACTTTACAAATGTAGATGTGTTTAGATGACATCATCCATCACATAAGGTGATGATGTCATTGGTCATCTTTGTCACAATGATCACAAACAGCTGATTAACAATTATTCTGCTTCTGTTAACAAGTTCAGGACTTTTCTGACCTGCTGCAGACCTCCCTCACTGCACACGCTCAACTTATCAAACTTTGACTTTTCCAATCAAAATCAAATCCTTTGTTTCTATTGAAGATTTCTATCCTGTGTTTATGAAATGAAAGCTGGATGATCTGAAGTCAGACAGATGTGACATGACTCACTTTGTGGATCAGTGCAGGCCAACGTTCATCCTCAGAGTGTTTCTCTGACAGAAAAGAAAGATTAAAAGCTTCATTCATGACTGATTTAACATCAGTGTTAATAATCACTTCTAAAAAAACACATATTCACACCTAGTCACACTCTCCCTTTATTGATCCCCCAATGGTTTTTTAATGCAACTCCCCTTATAATTATCTACTAGTCACACAAACATACAACTTTCTGACAGTTGGGAAAGGCAACAATACAGCGTGTTTCTCTGCTCCAAGACATCCGCGGTTCCTTTGATTACGGAGCTTCTTCACTCCAATCTTCAAATGTAGGGTTCGTGGATGGATCTTCAGAGACTGTCTATTATTGTGTAGACATTCATAAATAAATAATTTCTTAAGAAATATGCAGGTGGAGTGATCTTTATCAAAAGTAAAAGTTACATTAAGAACTTTAAAAATCTATTGTGTGTGAGGCTGTGTAGTAAAGCTTGCCCTTCTCACCGCGTGTAACAAACCATCTGTTAGGGGTTGTTTGCAGCTATAGAGGTAGAAGTATACTTCATGCACTTATCAACATACAGTTTAGAGACTTGCATTATAGTGCACTGGTGCACACTTGGGCATCTTTTATTTAGCATGGTTATACCATTGAGAATTTAGCTATATAAATATGCTCAAGAGTCTATCATATGTTTGACATCCTACTAAAAATTCTAAAATATATATTTTTAAATTTAGAGGAAATGTTTTTGAACAACAAATGTGTCACATTTTAAACAGGGTTGGAATAATCAGCGCTGAGATTATGCGCTGGGTATAACAGACATACTTACCATGTGAAAGGACCGCGGATGTCTTGGAGCAGAGAAACACGCTGTATTGTTGCTTTTCCCGATTGTCAGAAACGCTCTGCGCGGGTAGCAAAGTCGGCTCCAATGCGCCTGCAGGAATCCCTTTGAAAGAAAGGCGTCGCTGCAGCTAGTGTCTCGGGATAGTCAGGCTTGTATTTATATTTGCGTCATTCTGGTGCATTAAAACTAGCAGCCTCTGTGTCCCGCTTGGATCACTATTCTGAAAATTCAGATATTTAAATAAAATGAACGAATCACCTAGAGATAGGAAACCCGTAAAATGAGGTTTGATTAAATTAAACTCTTATGAACAGTGATGAATTCTGCCTCTCTGCTGATTAGGGATGGGTATTGATAAGATTTTCACGATTCCGATTCCATTTTCGATTCTGTTTAACGATTCGATTCTTTATCGATTCTTTTAAAAAAAGGAGAACACTACGGTCGATTAGCTTAGAACTTTGTTT